AAGATTAGAAAGTGAATAGACTGAAACTGACAAGGGGGGGGAGTGAAGATAGCTGCATGCGCCGAGGTGAGCGTATGACAGGGGATCTGAGTAAAAGTTGTGGATGAGCATACAGTACGATGGACGATTGTGATTAGGATAACGCTAATGATGAAAAAAGTAGTACGATCATGAGGATCTTGATCGGGAAAGATCCTCATTATGGAGGGGAGTGAGTGTCTAGGGTAGCGGCTGGTCACCCTACACTTGCACCTCGCGAAATGCTCCCATAAGACCAGGCGACTGAAATAGCCTCTGTTGAGGAAGCCTTACTTACTGTCTTCTCGTGGAGGTGGTTTCCCAAAAAAGTGAGAGGGGATGAAAAGCCGACAACTGGGTTGGTGAAGCACTGGTAGTTCACCTAGGGGAGTTGGCTAAAAACCCTGACAATCAAGAAGAGGCGTACAAACCACAACCACACCTTCCCGGCTGTGTCAATGGTCACCGGCTTGATTGGGCATCTTCGACATCTGACCCCGTCCAAAGGGAGTATGATCCGATCAACTGGACAACGGCCCCCAATGGAACGCGGTTTTCACACACCGCCCCACTGCCTTGCGGGTCAAGCTTCGGTTAGCCGAAGGCTCCGGTTATAGATTCCTCAAGTTAATTCACCTGCCCTGACCAGGGCAACCTGGCAGCATTCAGCCCACGTGTAAATCATGGAACGTTTTTCTTTCTATAAAGAATATTGTACCATGATTTGTTTGGCGTCAGACGTCTGTGAAATATATATACAATATAGTTTAACAATCAATCATGATGTGGTTTACTATTTCAATTTGTTCCGATATTATTTCAAGTAATATCAGAAAACTGACAAACGAGACCATTCACAAAGGTACAATATTGCACCTGCATCTAACAAACACCGACAGACAGACACACTGGGAAAAAGTCATAAAATTTCAAAGGACCACGTACATACATGGGAAGCCGGCCGCAACCGAAATTCGTACATTGTTTAACCCTCCCTCCCACCATATCTCAAAGCAATTCACTCGTACTTAGCGGGATAATGTGGTCAGGGCAATCGGCAGATAGGTGAACAGATAGTCAAACGGCCTGAGGCAATGTGTGTGTGCGTGTGTGTGTGTGGGACGAGGCTGGTACGTTGAGGTGAGATACACAGCACCTGTTTTATGATGACCTTGAGGCAAACTTTCCAGTTTCACAACCTACGGTAGCGATGACGGACTGTGTAGGTGTGCGCGCGAGGAAACCAATAGTAAATACAAACTGTGAAATTCGGGCAGGATACGTGAATCATAGATTGAATCTTACGTTAAAGAAGGCGAAGTGATTGATAACTTATGAACTCGACCTGGACATGAGCGTTAGATTTTTCGAGGGCGAAGATGCTTAGGCCGCAAATAACAGGTGCACGCATATGTAAAAGCCATGTACATCCTGCTATTCTTTATGGAAGAGTCAGGGTTAAAGCCAAACGAGGCAGAAAAATCATAACCCAGAAAAGCAGGGATGCACCAACTGGCCTATGAAGAACATCTACAGCCTCAAAAATTCAAAACACGGTCAGATGTGTGTCTATACTGGAGTCGCATACAAGGCAAGTGAGAATGTGTAAGTATACGGGTTGAGCTTACTTTCAAGGACGGGAAAAGAAAGCGAACCTCTGTGGTCAACACATAGAGTACACAGTTCAACTATGCATGCATACTACTTCAAGCATTCTGGTTTGATAAGAACTGACAGCAAGCTCGCAGCCATGACCTTCAGTGTTTCCAACCATGCGGTTTCGGAGTCTTTTGGACCCCATCTCGGAAGACAAGAGACACCTACTCTACCTAATCGCTATGTGCATTTCTTTATGCCTCGTCTCCACATCACCTGTTGGTCTCCATGTGGCTCTCTCCAGCAACAGCCACTGCGAATAAGGCACGCTAGGATAGACGACCGTCAAACATACGCAAAACGTGTCCTAACCAATGTAGCCTATTGAGCTGAATTCGATGCGACAGTGAGTTCTTCTTCGATGCATTCCAAAACACCCGACGACTTAATTCTAAGTTAACAACCCGCTCATTCCATCCCACTTGGGCCAGAATACGTAAGCATCGATTGTCGAAAACCACTAGGCGACGGATGTCTTCTACCCATCAATTCAAGGTCTCACAACCGTAAAGCAGAACTGATCGTACAGTGGGACAGCATATGCAACTTTTCAACTTTAGTGAAACGTCACGTCGTCGCCACAGGTGTTAAAGTCCTGCGTACGCTGCTCGAGCCTTGGAAATACGGGCGGCTATCTCTTTTGATGCGCTACCGTCGTTGGTCACGCAGCTACCTAAGTACGAGAAGCAGCCAACTTCAGCTAATTTCTGAACGTGTAGTTTTAGAGCAGAACTCGGCAACACCCAGTCTTGTAGCGTCACTTTGCACTTTGAAGGTGCGAAGCAC